CATTCAGCTTGATTTCAGGTGGCTTTGAATGATGGTTGATCTATAGTTTAGTTGTAACTTTGATGTGGTTGTGGGAGGACGGATAGTTTACCTACGCTGCCATCTTGACCGGAAGTCACAAAAGACTTTCCCTCTTGGAAGTTAAAACTTTTTGTTAACAGTAGCATTCTGTTGATTAAATTATGTCACAGAGCCAGTTGGGAGATGTGGTTTGTGGGGACCATTTTGTGAAATCATCCACACTGTTAATATTTGTATTCATCATGTTGTTGTACCATGTATATAATTGTTATTTTAGGTACTGGGGATATATTATTAATGAACAATAAATACAAATCCCTCCCTACTGGTAGCTTATTTTTTACATGATAAATAATTAAAATGTGTAGTGTGTTGGTTAGTAACAAGGAAGAAAAGTAAAGCAGGAAGAGATAGAGAACATGGTGGGTTGGGAGTTGCAGCTCTAAAAATGGGAACTAATGCCCTGGCCAGTTTGGTTCAGCAGTTAGAGCGGTGGCCCACGGTCCAGAGAGACCCGGGTTCAGTTCCCCCTAAGGGCATGTACTTCGGTTGCAGTTTGTCCCCTGCCCTGGTTGGGTCATGTGGGTGGCAGCCACTCGATGTGTCCCTTCCACGTCGATGTTTCTCTCTCTCCCTCTCTCCCTCCAGCTCTGTCTGAATAAAGAATGGAAAAATGTCCTCAAGTGAGGATAAAATAAATAAATAAATAAAATAAAATAAAAAAAAGGAGGAGACTAGGAGCTAGAGGGGCAAAGGTGGAATAGGAGAGGGGCCAGCTATGTGCTACCTGACACGGAGATGCAAGCAGACCACAAGAAGCCCCCAGAATAAAGAAAATTCCTGCAAAGATTAATACTTTATCGTTTACCTATACCATAAAAGGAAAATAGACCACAACATATACCTTGTAAAGGTTAAAGTTAATCCCAAAGGTTTTTTTCCACTCTATTTCCCCATGACACTAATTTTCCATAGAAACTACAAATAGATATAAGCTCATCTTCTAGAGGCTGTTGGGGTCTCACTTCCTTTTTTTTATCCTCACCGAAGAACATTTTTGCATTTTATCTTCAGATAGAGTGGGAGGGAGAGAGAGACATAGATGTGAGAGACACACATCAACTGGTTGCCACCCATACGGCCCTTAGTGGATCCTGAACCTGGGACTTCGGTCAACGGGCTGATGCTCTAACCGCTGAGCCAAGCTGGCCAGGGCTCTCTTCCTTTTCTTGTGAGAAGGGTCCACTACTCTGTGAAGTGGCTTTTCTTGCTTATCCTCTCTGCTCAATAAACTTAATTTAGCTTTAATCTCTTATCTGGGTTGAATCTTGATTTTTTTTCCTTTTTAAAGCCAAGAACACTCTTGGCTCCCTCTTGGCTTGGGGCTCAAGTCTCCCCTGGGGATTTACCCCTCTGGTATCAAAAGCAAAAAAACGTTTAAAAGGCTAATGCAGTTAGGAGATGGGTGGTTTGGATTAATGTAGTGATAATACAAGTAGGGAGAAGTGCTTAGATTTTGAATTCATTTTGAAGACACAGCTTCAGAATTTATTTATGGATTGGTTGTGGAGTGTGAGAGAAAAAGGAAATTAACATTGTCTTTAAGGTCATTGACCTGAGCTACTGAAGGATGGAGTTGCCATTTACTGAATTGGGTAAGACTACAGAACAAGCAGGTTTGGGGAGGTCATGATTGGTTTTAAAGGGGACAAAGTTTTGCCTGCCTAAAGTTGCCTTTTGGGATATTAATTTTAAACTGATTATTAAGAAACAAGACTCAGAAAAAAACTGACCCTCCCTCCTTTCCTGCCTAATAGTCTCAGATAGAAAAACTTGCTCCAGGAAGGAAATCTTAACATATCTACCTTAGCCCAATCTGAATTGAATGTGATAGGAGGGTGTCAAGCTGGGGCCTGTTAACCAGACACCCCTCGAAGCATCTCATTGTTTCTTGGTTGCTCAGAAAAATTTATCTGCCATGTATGTTCACCTCTCAGTTACCTGTGTGGCCCATTCTCACTTTTGAAATTTAAGAGCCCATTCCCCCCTTTCGCCTTTGTCTAAAATGTCTTATACACTCAATTTTGCCTCACTGTCTTTGGAATTTTCATGCTTATGTGAATTCCTTGTGCATATGTATTACAATTTTGATTTTTTTCCTCTGTTAATCTTTTAATTTGATGATTATTAGCCCAGCTAGAAGAACTTAGAAGGTGGGAGGAAAGGTAGTTTTTTTTAGCTTCCAGTTTATTTGAAATGCCAATTAAAAGCTACCTGTTTTAGCCCTGGCCGGTTTGGCTCAGCGGTTAGAGCGTTGGCCTGCGGTCTGGAGAGACCCGGGTTCGGTTCCCGCTAAGGGCACGTACTTCGGTTGCAGTTTGTCCCCGGCCCTGGTCGGTCATGTGGGTGGCAGCCACTCGATGTGTCCCTTTCACGTCGATGTTTCTCTCTCTCTCTCCCTCCCACTCTATCTGTACAAAAATTGCAAAAATGTCCTCGGGTGAGGATTAAAAAAAAAAAAAAGCTACCTGTTTTAAAATGTAAGTTATGCCTGTATCCTATTAGACTTCCTTTTTTTGTTGCAAGGGAAGTTGATAGGAAGGAGGAATTAAAAAAAAATTTTTTTTTTATCCTCACCCTAGGACATTTTGCATTTATCTTCAGGTAGAGCCAGAGGGAGAGAGGGAGGAAGAGAGAGAGAGATACATCGATGTGAGAGAGACACATCAATTGGTTGCCACCCACACGACCCCAACCGGGGCCAGGGACAAATTGCAACTGAGGTATGTGCCCTTAGTGGGAACCAAACCCAGGACTCTCTGGTCTGCGGCCAACACTCTAACCACTGAGCCTAACTGGTCAGGGCAGAAGGAGGAATTTTATACTTTGTAATAGTTAAGTCTTCTTAGAAGAGTGAGGAATCTGGTTATTTTTAGCTACACTGTTGTCTTTTCTAGGCTCTCTCACCATTTCCCTGATGTGGCTTGTTCACAAATCTTACTGATTGTCACCTTTTTACTAAAAAAAGGCCTGACGTAAACTTAAGCAAGTTTATTTAAACAGTTTATTTTCCTTTTCTACAGTTTTGCTTTAAGGAGAAAAGGTAGAGGTGAGAATTTTAAATTGAAACTTACTCTCTATTTCAATTCATTCTGTATCTTTCCTAGGCGATATATGTCCATCTTGCTTTAACCCAATTTGTAGGATTTAGTTTCTGTTGACAAGAGAAAATTTCTGATGGTCTTAATTAAATTACAGCTTCTTGAGAGTGAGAAAAAGACAGGAATAATTAATCAGTTAATAGTTGCGGGCCAATTAACAAAAGATTGCTTACATTTTTGAATATATGTTAGAGCTTTTTTTTTTTTCTATTTTCTTTTCATCCTCACCCGAGGATATTTTTCCATTTATCTTCAGATAGAGTGGAAAGGAGAGAGAGGGAGAGAGAGGGGGGTGGGGGAGAGAGAGAGAAAGAAAGATAGAAACATCGATCAGCACAGCCAGGGCCGGAATCAAACTTGAGACTCATTGGTCCTTGGGCTGATGCTCTACCCCTGAGCCAAACTGGCTAAGGTTATGTTGAAGCTTCGAGTCAGTCTCTGCGTCTGAATTCTGCATATGCATAACCTTTCTGGACTGTTGCCTTAACCATTCAAAAGTAGTAAATACTTCTTTCTTACAGATGGTTCTCTTATCAAAGAACTGCCCATATTTCACCTTATTTCCTCCTCTTTTATCTCTAGAGAAAGAGCAAATATGTGGTAAACAAATTCTTACTGGACCACTCACAAACAATGGGGCTGAGGGAAACAGGCTTTACTAGATTTCTCCCTGTCAGACACAGTTTGTTTATATTATGATACTAATGGTCATTTCCTTTAAGCAGGTGTTTCTATTTGAATTCTTTTAGGCAGGTAAAAGGGGTGATGTGAAAGGTTCTTTCTGAGCCTTTTGTTTCTTAATAAACAGCTTAGACTCAGTATCCCAAAAAGCATACTTTGGGGTATCAAACCTTTGTCCCCCTCAGTCCTGCCTTTGAAACTTTAACAAGTTTCATATTCTAGAAGCTAAGTTGATAGACTGCATAGATGGTTCTCTTGATTAAGCTCTGCAGTTTTTGTTTTGTTTTGTATCCCCACCGGAGAACATTTTTCCATCTTTGTTCAGATAGAGTGGGAGGGAGGAAGGAAGGAGGTTGGTGGAGAGGAGAGAGACATCAATGTGAAAGGACACATCGAGTGGCTGCCTCCCACATGACCCCAACCAGGGCTGGGGACGAATTGAAACCGAGGTGCGTGCCCTTGACCTGAATTGAACTTGTGACTCATTGGTCCATGGGCTGACGCTCTAAGCGCTGAGCCAAACCTGCCAGGACTCTTCAGTTCTTTTTTTTTTGGTATGTGCCCCTAGCAGCAACCGAACTCAGGACACTCTGGTCCGCAGGCCGACACTCCAACCACTGAGCCAAACCGGCCAGGGCAGTACTCTTCAGTTCTTATTTTAAACTGAAAGTGGTCAGAAAGGTATCAGGAGTCCCAGCATGGCTGTAGCCCTGGCCCGTTTGGCTCAGTGTTTAGATCATCAGCCCTCCGACTGAAGGGTCTTGGGTTCGATTCGTGGTCAAGGGCATGTACTTGAGTTGCATGTTTATCCCTGGCCCCAGTTGGGGTCGTTTGGGAGGCAGCCAATCAATGTGAGACACATAGTTTTCTCTCTCTCTCTCTTTTTCCCCTCCCCTCCTTGTTCTCTCTCCTCCTCTCTCCTTTCCACTTTCTCTAAAAATAATCAATGGAAAGATATTCTCGGGTGAGAATTAACAACAAAAAAGAATTTCTGCTTGGGTATATTGCATTTTTGTAGGGTGTCCTGGGGTGTCTTTTTTACTTCTGCTCGCTGCTCTTTTGTAAATCCTAAAGAGAGAATTTTCTAATTTACACAAGATTTTATAATTTTTTTAATCCTTTTAAATTTATCAACAGACTTATTTCTTCACTGCCAAAATGGCATCACTTTCTACCTCTGCCCAGTGTTCAACATCTGACAGTGCTTGCAGGAACTCTCCAAGACAGATGAAGCAGGTAAAGCATTTTAGGCATTCTTATTTCTCTCTAAGTTGAATAAAAAAATAGAGTCGGGGTATGACTTCACTGACTAGGATTTTATACAGAGCAGAAGTATTATTTTTAAAAATGTCCTATTGAGATAGGCCAATAAGCCAGGAAACAGTGTTAATGCTCATAAATTTGAATTGATTATTGATTAAATAAATGTATGGAAGTTACTATTGCTCAGTGGTATATTTTGAAAACCAGGGTGTTTTTAGGGTATAGGTGGCTAGTGGGGAATTTGGGACCAAGTTATATAAGTTAGTTGATTCTCTCTCACTTCCTTCTGATTAGGTTGTTTTCTTTAAAAATCAGTTTTTAAATTGTAAATATAGCAAGTGTATTCTTGTAAAAGATTCAAACTTTATAATGTATTTATCTTTAAAGTATTTATAAAGACTTTTTTGACCCATCTCTTTCCACCAAATCCCTTTCCCCTAACACAACATAAAACACTTCTAATCAGTTTGGTGTGTCTTGTTCCAGATCTTTTCCTCTAACATACCAAAATGCGTAATTTTGTTTTGTGTTTTTGTAAAAATTATACACTATATAATAGTATGTAGCTCAATATATTATAAAGGTGGAATTTAGACTTGATGGGGAAATGTGGCTTATATAAAAAATGATTTTTATATAATTGGCCATCTCTGGAAGGAAACAAATTAAGACCCCAAACCTTGTATCAAAACAAATTGCAGATAGATACTTAAATGTAAAAAGTGAAATGATTAAAAGTATTAGAAGAAAATTTAAGAAATACTTGTGAAACTTTAGAATGAGGGAGGCCTTATGATAAACTGTGGAGGCTGTCAGAGAAAGGGAGAGACAGATTTGACTATATACAGGTTAGAAAACAATCGTGTGGCTAAGGGCAGACTGCACAATCAGAGTCAAGAGATAGCAAAGTCATTATGCCTTGTTTATCCGTTTATCTACCAGTGGTATTTGGGTTGTTTCCGACTTTTGGCTATTAGGAATAATGCTACTATGAACACTGGTGTACAAATAGTTGCTTGAGTCCCTGCTTTCAGTTCTTTTGTATGTATATCTACAAACTTCTGGGTAATATGTAGATTTTATGTTTAACTTTTTGAGGAGCTGTCAAACTGTTTTCCACTGCAGCTGCACCATTTCACCGGTTCCAGTTACTCCACAATCCTCACCAACACTACGTTCTTTTTTCTTCTTACTATAGCCATTTAGTGGTGTGAATGTGCTGTCTTTTGAAGGTGTTGATTTTTCAGGAAGTAGTCTGATCATCTGTAGTTGTTTTATGCATTGAAAGATTGTACAATATTAGATTAGTATCTACCAGTGTTTAAAAAGTTGAATGAGGTTGTCTTGTTCCCTGGGGTATCAGAAACCAATGTAACTGAACTGTAAATATCAGGTTTATTTTATTTTATATCAGGTGCGACCAAAGCTGCCACTTCTGAAGATTTTGCAGGCAGCAGGTGCACAAGGTGATATATTCACTGTTACCGAGGTAAGCTACCAAAGAAAATTCTGTTTTAAGAACAGCTGAAAGGAGGACATCTGTAATACTTTCAACAATAAATTAAAAAAGAACAGCTGAGAAGTATAAACCTATGGATTTGTAGTTCTGAATCAGGCCTAAGAAAGGAAGTTCCTCCTGAGGTACTGGAGTTGCAACTTTTGCTCTGTTTTAAAGACTACTGAGCTGCACTGAATTTCATATTTCCTTTAAATTTCCTTTTTGAAGTTTGCTGTCAGCTAAACATAAGACTAACCATGAATTTGTTGATTTCAGCTGAAGTGCAAAACATGCCCGGTCGATGTGGCTCAGTGTTTGAGTGTCTACCCATGCACCAAGAGGTCACCAGTTCAATTCCCAGTCAGGGCACATGCCCAGGTTGTAGGCCAAATTCCCAGTGCAGAGCATGCAGGAGGCGACAAATCGATGTTCTCTCTCATCGATATTTCTATCTCTCTCTTCCTTTCTCTCTAAAACCAATAAAGAAAAAAAAACTTTTTTAAAATGCAAAATATGTAAAAGTTTTTTAAAATGACACCATCTGTGATTTAAAGGATATGCTACCAGGCAGGAATTAGATGCTGTAGTTTTGCATTATAAATGTGTCAGGTACTCTTTTGAGCACTGTGAGTTATTTTAAACGCTTATGCATTTAAATAACTTATTTAGCTTCTAAAGTGTATTTTTTTCTTTATTGATTTTAGAGAGAGAGGAAAGGAGAGGGAGAGAGAGATGGAAACATCGAAGGGAGAAAACATCGATTGGCCGCCTCCTGCATGCCCTCACTGGGGATTGGGCCACACCAGCCGGCCTGGCTTAAAGTGGTTTTTAAAAACAAATTGAAGCCCTGGCCAGTTTGGCTCAGCGGTTAGAGCGTCGGCCTGTGGTCCAGAGAGACCCGGGTTCGGTTCCCGCTAAGGGCACGTACTTCGGTTGCAGTTTGTCCCCGGCCCTGGTTGGTCGTGCGGGTGGCAGCCACTCGATGTGTCCCTTCACGTCGATGTTTCTCTCTCTCTCTCCCTTCCTCTCTCTCCCTCCCACTCTATCTGTACAAAAAATGGAAAAATATCCTCGGGCGAGGATAAAAAACAAAAACAAAAACAAAAAAAGAACAAATTGAATTCGCCCTGGCCGGTTTGGCGCAGCGGTTGGAGCGTCGGCCTGTGGTCCAGGGAGACCCGGGTTCGGTTCCTGCTAAGGGCATGTACCTCAGTTGCAGTTTGTCCCCGGCCCTGGTTGGGTCGTGCGGGTGGCAGCCACTCGATGTGTCCCTTTCACATCGATGTTTCTCTCTCTCTCTCTCCCACTCTATCTGAACAAAAAATGGAAAAATGTCCTCAGGTGAGGATAGAAAAAAAATAAAAATAAAAAACAAAAAAAACCCAAATTGAATTCTTTAAATGGAAAAGACTTGGTATTAAAATGTTAATCTCTTTGAACTTTGCTTGCTAGTAAGGTAAACCCTTCCTAAACAGAAGAAACAGAGCTTTTTTTTTAATCCTCACCCGAGGACATTTTACCATTTTTTGTTCAGATAGCGTGGGAGGGAGGGAGAGAGAGAAACATCGATGTGAAAGGGACACATCGAGTGGCTGCCTCCCGCACGATCCAACCAGGGCCAGGGACAAACTGCAACCGAGGTACATGGCCCTTAGTGGGAACTGAACCCGGGTCTCTCTGGACTGTGGACCAAAGCTCTAACTGCTGAGCCAAACCAGTCAGAGGAAGAGAGTGAGAGAGAAACATCGATGTGAAGGGACACATCGAGTGGCTGCCACCTGCACGACCAACCAGGGCCGGGGACAAACTGCAACCGAGGCACATGCCCTTGGTGGGAACCGAACCCGGGTCTCTCTGTACCGCAGGCCAGCGCTCTAACCGCTGAGCCAAACCGGCCAGGGCTTTTTTTGTTTTCTTAAAAAGCTTAACACCTATCTGTAATGCTGCACTCCTGAGCCATTAAAACTCTCAAGGAAACCAATCTGGAGGCATTTCAGATTTTCTAGAATGCTTATATTTTCTTTATCATTTTAAATTAAATCCATCATTTGGACTGTATCTAAAATTCTGATAAGTATGACTTTTTTCAAACTTATTAAAGTGTGGAGTTTTACATCAAATTACATACAAGTTTTACATACAAGTTACACTGTCTTAGCAGAGTTTATTGGGGAAAAAGTTGGACAGAGTCCAACTTTATGATAAGCTCTATGTTATAAATCTTGACCCTACCTGGTACATAAAGAGGAATTCCCTAAATATTTTAAAATATTGGTTGTCAGTGTGTGCATTGAGCCAGTATGGTATAATGAGAATAGTAGTAGTATATACAGATTTAGAGTAGTGTTTTAGAGGATTTTATTTTGTATACTTAGAATTGAGGTTTTTTTTTTTTCCTGAATGTTGGGCAGACATAAATATAATACTTACCTCCTCCCTTTATATGCCCCCTTCTTTTTTTTTTTTTTTTTTTTTTGTGGTATGTGCCCCTAGCGGGAACTGAACCTGGGCCTCTCTGGTCCATATGCCGACTCTCAACCACTGAGCCAAACTGGCCAGGGCACCTCCCATTTCTTCTAATAGGTGTTCTTTCCCATCTTATTTTTCCCTAGATATTTGATTAGATATGAGAAATTTCTTAACCTGTTAACCGAGCGGGACGTAAACCTTGCATACAGTAAAAAGGGAATTCCCCGGTTAACAGGTTAATACTGGGACATATTACCTGGGATGGAGGGTAACCTAGGAGCATCATTGCTTCTAATATAGCAGGAACAGTGTTGGGAAAAATCTGTGCAGATATCTAATGATTTATGAGAAGTGGAGGCCTAAAGATAAAGACAGCTGCTTTGGTCTGCTTGTAATCAGAGATAACAAAATTCTTACTGTCATTAAGTGAAGTTGTATTAAGCAGTTTTTTAAAAAATCTGTTACCTAGAGAAAACATTAGGACAAATTAGATCATTTTTAAGTTTTGAATCATGAACTTGTCTGTTTCCTTCCATTTTGTAAACCTGTGAAAAAAGCCAGATAGACTGTATTTTTGATAAACAAATTATGTTTTATGCACTTCTAGTGATGATGGTTAGTTAACCGTTGCACTTCATTTGTAAAAAATCAGTAAGTGAACACATCAAAAGATTATCGGCCCTGGCCAGTTCGGCTCAGCGGTTAGAGCGTCGGCCTGCGGTTCAGAGAGACCCGGGTTCGGTTCCCGCTAAGGGCACGTACCTCGGTTGCAGTTTGTCCCCGGCCCTGGTCGGTCGTGCGGGTGGCAGCCACTCGATGTGTTCCTTTCGCATCGATGTTTCTCTATCTCTCTCTGTTCCTCTCTCTCCCTCCCACTCTACCTGAACAAAAAATGGAAAAATGTCCTCAGGTGAGGATAAAAAAAAAGATTATCGTAGTTATGTACCCCTGGACTTGCAAAATATTTTTATGACCCAGGCAAATTTAAACTTTATTCCTTCTAGTAATAGGAAAGACCCCTTTATTTGGATTGGTGAACAAATTTTAAAGGGGATACTAGGTAAATTCACCACTTTTTCTCATTGTTAGACCAATACATTTGTATTATAAAATGTAAGGGTCTGTTATGGTCCAGAATGTTAATAAGTGGATGAATCTAGTATTGGGGGTCAACTATCCTGTTGTAGGACCCTGGACTCCTTATATGTTATCTTTCTCTAGCAAACCTAACTTGTCCTTATAATTAATTTGTGTGTTTTTCACAGCTGCTGGACAGAACTCTTAATAATATTTATTTCTTTGCAGGTCATGCATTATCTAGGCCAGTATATAACAATGAAGCAGCTCTATGATCCGCGGGAGCAGCATATGGTATATTGTGGTGGAGATCTATTGGGAGAACTCCTAGGATGCCAGAGCTTCTCTGTGAAAGATCCGAGGTAAAAAGAGTGAGGATTTATTTTTGAGGTGCTTATACTTAACTACTTAATCTTTGTAAGTAGTTAATGATTATTTATTCCCGTAGTCAACAAATATTTAAGGGCCTACATGTCAGATGGCCTATGAGGCACTGAGAATACAGTATTGAGCAACAGTCTGATTTTATGGAGCTTAATTTAAGTGTAGTGAGATAGGTGCTCTTCCCCATTGTAATCTAATTATCACACTAATATATGGTAAAATTATACTATGATAAAGTTACAGAAAAAACGCCACATGATGTTGTGTTGGGTGGGGTTTAGCATCTTAGGGATCAAGAAAAGGTTCCTTGAGAAATTGATATTTGAGCTGAGAGCCAAAGGATAATAATTAAAGAGTCAAGAGTCGATTAAAGCGGCTGGTTGAAGGAGCTCTTATGGCAATTGAGCGTCACTTATAAAGGCCTGGATATTAGAGAGCTTAATGCGACTAGGTTAGAATTTTGTCAAACAGTTGTAGAGGAAGTGTGAGATGATGAGAAATGTAGAATTGCTGTGCAGTTTGAGGTTGATGATGGGCTCTGCTGTGATTTTTGTGACCTTTGTGCGACTTTTCTCCAGCTGTATGGGGTATTTGGTTATTTATAAAATCAAAAGCTAATTAGTAATTGAGAAGCAGGATTCTTTTTCTTTTTTTACAAAAAATATTTTTTTTCTTTATTGATTTGAGAGAGAGAGAGAGAGAGAGAGAGAGAAACATCGATAAGAGAACGTTGACTGGCTGTCTCCTGCATGCCTCTTGCTAGGGATTTGGCCCTCAATCTGGGCATGTGCCCTGACTGGGAATCCAACCAGTGACCTGTTGGTGCCTGGGTCGACGCTCAACCACTGAGCCACACCGGCCAGGGCAGTATTCTTTTTCTTTCTGTAGCTTTGTGATGATTTTTGAGTCATTTTTTCTTTCTTTGATAAGACTCCTTTCTACCTCCACTTCCTAATCGCCCCACTTGAGTTACTCTTAGCCAAATAAATAAAATGTAAATTAATTTGTTTGTAATGGGGACAAAGTAATAACAAGGGTTTGGACATTAATGTCTCGATATTCTAATAATGAAAAAAGATCTGCCTGGCTGCTGTAGCTCAGTTGGCTTGGAGCTTCCTCCAGTCCCATACACCAAAAGATGGTGTGTTCAATTCCCGGTCAGGACACATACCCAGGTTTCAGGTTCGATTCCCAGTGGGACCTGTGTGGGAAGCAACCAGTCAATGTTTCTTTCTCTCTCTAAAATCAATGAAAAATAAAAAAATCTGTTCTGGGGGCAAAAAATTCTATCTATATTTTATAAAGTTGGGAGATAGTGTATCAGAAATACATTTAACATTTTAATGGAAAACCATTAGGTTATTAATTTATTGTTTTATTTCTTTGACAGCCCTCTCTATGCTATGCTAAGAAAGAATCTTGTCGCTTTAACCACTGCTACTGCAGGTATGTCTCACCATCATTTTTCAGTCTATATTATAGCTTTGAGTCCAAGGGGGCAAATGATGGGAAGGGAAAACAAAAAGGATCAAGGTGGAGATGGAATGTTATCTTGGCATGGGATACTATCACACAGAATGTGATTACTATGTTATTTAACTATTGATTGTGAAAATTTTCCAGTATACTAAACATAGATTGGTATAATTAATGTGTGCGCCTCTTAGACTTAGCAGTTGTTAACATATCGCTGTATTTGCTTTATGTAGTCATACTTTTTTTTTTATCCTCACCCGAGGACATTTTGCCATATTTTGTTCAGATAAGAGTGGGAGGGAGGGGGGGAGAGAGAGAGAGAGAGAAACATCGATGTGAAGGGGACACATCGAGTGGTTGCCACCCGCCTGACCCAACCAGGGCCAGGGACAAACTGCAACCGAGGTACATGCCCTTAGCGGGAACTGAACCTGGGTCTCTCTTGACCGCAGGCCGATGCTCTAACCGCTGAGCCAAACCGGCCAGGGCTGTAGTCATATTTTTAAAATCGCTAACAGATCAGGACTTTTTTCCTTCGAACATAACTACAATGCCATTATTATACTCAACAAAATAATAATAAACTAAATTATTGCATAATAGTATCCAATAGCTAGTTTCTGTATAGTTACCCCCAGCTATCTCAGAAATATCTTTAAAAAATTTTTTTATTAATTTATTTTTGTTAAAGATATTTCTTCTTTTTTCTCCATTGACACCCTCCTCCCGATCCCCTTCATCCGAAATATCTTTTATATATGGCTTGTTCAAAGTCCACATTTGATGCAAAGCCCATACACTACATTTGGTTGCTAAAACTCCTTTTGTTTTTATGTCATTTATTTGATGAAGTAATGAATCATTTGTGCTGTAGCATTTCCTACATTCTAGAGTTTGTAGATAGTATCCTTGTGATGTTGTTTAACATTTTTCTCTGTTCTATTTTTGGTAAACTAGCAGTGCTTGAATAGATTCAAGTTTAAATTTTTTGCTAAGAGTTTTCATAGGTGGTGCTTTTGTACATGTTGCATTACATTAGAGTGATGTAAGGTGTTTGTGCCCCTTGCTTTTATTTGATTAGAATCTGTGGGTTCCCATGGTGTCAGTCTGATCCATCTATTATAAAGGTCCCCCAAGAACCTTTCACTTGATGGTTATTATGATTATTTTTAAAAATGTATCTTTATTATTGAAAGTATTATGGATGCTTCCCCCATTAACTCTCCACCCCGCTGCCACTCACCCCTGGCCTTCGCTGCACTGTTGTCCCTGTCTGTCGGTTATGCATACATGCATGTAAATTCTTTGGTAAATCTCTTTTCGCCCTATGCCCCTTTCCTCTGAGATTTTACCTAATGGTTTTAGTTCTCTGTTATTTGAAGGCCAATTTGTCTAACCCTTTGCTTGATTTCATACCTTTTGTTTTATTTTTTTATTTCAATATTCATTTAATTAATTTATTTTTGTTATAGATGTTTCTCTTTTTTCCCTCCATTGACACCCTCCTCCTGTTCCCACCCCTCCCCCCGGCATTGTTGTCTGTGTCCATTGGTTATGCTTATATGCATAAGTTCTTTGGTTTATCTCTCCCCCCCCCCTCTGAAGTTTGTCAGCCTGAACCCTATTTCTATGTCTCTGAGTCTGTTTTGTTCATCACCTTATTTTGTTTATTGTATTCTACAAATAAGTGAGATCATGTGATACTTGTCTTTCTCTTACTGGCTGATTTCACGTAGCATAATACTCTTCAGATCCCTCCATGTCCTCTCAAAAGGATAAGAGATCTATCTTTGTTACAGCTGCATAGTATTCCATTGTGTATATGTACCACATTTTATACCTTTTAAATACTGTTCTTTGAGTTTAACTTATTACGTATGTGTAGGAATCTGGCTGCTTTGGGTCTGAACTGTGGTGTTAGAGATAAGTGAATTAATAAACTGGAGACAACTGAAATGTAACCCAGTTTCACTCATCTCCAAATACTGAAACTTTTTTCTTCAAGATAGCACTCTAGATTGGCTGTCTTTCAATAGTTTACTGAAACATACAGTTTGAAAAAAAAAATCCATTCCTAAGAATTTGCTCTCATCAAAATGTGATTTTGAACGTATATTGAATTTTGAAACCTGTTGGTTTCATTGAGCCTTTGCCCACTTCACCCAGCTGTAAATTTCTGTTTCAGAGAGAAGGGCCTTGCGAATGATACGGCTTTTTATTGAAATTCATTCACTTGGGAAATAGTATCGCTTTTCTGGGGTTCTCACTATAGGCTTGAAATACATAGCGGATTTTATATTTGCTCTTGTACCTTTCAGTAAACTTTGTTTTCTGATTGATCTTTATCTGAATATCTAGCATAGGTATAATTCTCACTTTGTCTCTCATTTTCTTTCTTATACTTCCTTTGCAGAATTTAACATGCCATGTATTAAAATGAACATTTCTATAGCAAACATTTCAACTGATCCTCAAAACAACCCTGTGGGGAAGGTTTGGAGATGAATAAACTAAGATTTTAAAAAATAGAATGAGTGATTACCATGGTTTTTTTCATTGTGCCACACATTGCTTTCTCCTTAACCGTTGCTTATAACAGAATTTGCTCCAATTAATTTTTTAAGCACACTTTTTTTCTGTGAACATTAAATCTTTAAATATTTTGTCACTTGGAAATAATTTCACCTACAAAACAAATCCCAAAAGTATTATAGAGTTCCTTATACTCTTTACCCAGATTGCCCAAATGGTAACACCTTACATAACCGTGGTACAATTAACTTTGTCTGCTCTGACTTGCACTTGGATTAGTTCTTGTAGTTGATCTTTGTAAAGTGGGTGGCCTGTGCTGTGTTTTATTTGAAAGGACAAATGAGACAAGTGCTTTCATTTCACCTATTTTACACCTTTGCAAATGAGCTAAACCTTTTATTTTGATGACTGAAAGAAATATTATTTAAAGTGAAGGTGGTGCCCCACCAGTGTGGCTCAGTGGATTGAGCGTCATCCCATGCACCAAGAGGTCACCAGTTTGATTCCCGGTCAGGGCACATGCTCAGGTTGTGGGCTTAGTCCCCAGTGTAAGGGGGCATACAGGAGGCATGTTTCTCTTTCACATCGATGTTTCTATCTCTCCCTTTCCATTTCTCTCTCTCTCTTAAAAAAAAAAAATCAATAAAAACATTGAAAGTGAAGGCGGTTGCCCTGGCCTGCATTGCCCAATGGTTAGAGCATCGGCCCGAGGACTGAAGGGTCTTGGGTTCGATTCCCTGTTAAGGGCACATACCTAGGTTGCAGGTTTGATCCTCGACCCTGGTCTGTGTACATTCGGGAGGCAAGCAATTGATGTGTGTCTGTCACATTGATGTTCCTCCCTTCCACTCTCTAAAAGTCAATGGAAAAAAAATCCTCACATGAGGATTAACTAACTAACTAACTAATTAACTAAATAGTCTTAAAAAATAAATTGAAGGTGGTTCTTTATAAACCATTTCTCCAGCCCGGCTGGTGTGGCTCAGTGGTTGAGCATCGACCTGTGCACTAAGAGGTTACCAGTTCTTTTCCCCATCAGGGCACACGCCCAGGTTGTGGGCCCGATCCCCAGTGGGGGCCAGGCAGGAGGCGGCCAGTCAGTGTTCTCTTTCATCAATGTTTTTATCTTTTTCTCCCTTTCCCGTCCTCTCTAAAATCAATAAAGAAAAATAAAAAGTTTAAAAAAAACCATTTCTCCAAATTTCCACATGCATCCTAATAAAATACAATATATATGACAAATTTATTTTATTTTTTTTAATCCTCATCTGAGGACATTTTTGCATTTATCTTCAGATAGAACAGGAGTGGGGGTGGAGAGAGAAACATCGATGTGAGAGACACATCAACTGGTTGTCACCCACACAACCCCAACCAGGGCCGGGGACAAACTGCAAATGAGGTACATGCCCTTAGCGGGAACCGAACCCGGGACTTTCTGGTCTGCAGGCCAGTGCTCTAACCGCTGAGCCAAACCGGCCAGGGCCTTTGTATTTATTTTAAAATTTATTTATTTTAAAGTTTTCTTCAGATAACTTTTTTGCTTCCAATTATTACCTAAGTAAGGTAGTAAGCTTTAGAATATGAATGACAGTAAACAAATGCTTCATCTGCATTGTATGTTAATAGAGCTTTGAAGACCACTGTGGTCATAAAATGCTGCCTCTTAAACTTCTCAGTATCTTCATTTATCTTATAACGTGCTTCTAGAAATAATGCCCTTTATAATTACAATTTTGAAAATGTTTGTTTTGTGCAAAACAACTGAATTGTGAGACCAGTTGTAGGCTCTGTATTCTCATTTAGTTGAGGATATTTTCCATAAGATCTCTGGACCTGATAATAGCCAATGAACCCAATCCATGATAACTTACTTATAAACATCTCAGTTATATGTAGCCTCTGGGTGGTCCAGGTTATTCAGTTCTCTAAAGCTAAGTTTTTATCTTCTGTTCTGCTTGAAAATTTCCAAGTCCTTGAAATACATTTCTTTTAGACTAAGAATTTCTCTTAGGTTATTGTTTCCTTTGCTTCTTTTTATTGGCCTTGAGAAAAACTTTCTCTGCTTCATTGTCCTTAGAAAATGTTTATAGTAATTGAGAAAAATAATACTTGTTGATTTTAAAAAACCTAATCTGTATTTAGGTGATGGGAATTGAAACTGAAATCATTGGCATTTAGAATGTACGTTTACATGAAGATGCTGTGGTGTTATGAAACAAGCGAGAAATTGCACATTTTCAGATTTCATAACCCTTTTTAACTTTTTAACATTTAGAAAATTAAATTAAAAAGCCAAACCTTTTTTTGTTGTTTACAAGTTAGGCAAATTTGGTAATAAAATACCTGTAGGAAGAAGTGATAAAAATATGCATGATTATTTCTTCTTGGAATAATTTTTCATATTAATATTTGAAAGCTTGCTATGGAAGAACATTTTTTGTTTTCCCCCAGATTACATTTTGATAATATTATTTTAAATATAGTCTGTTTTGGTTTTTGCATTTTTTTACCAGTTTTCATTTTCCCATTCCTTTTGGATGAGAGCGTTGTTCAACCAACATGGAGAAGTATGTTTCTAGGGACCAAACCTGGCTCCAGGGTTGTTTGCTGAGGTCCTTTTTGTGTGGAAAGAATGGTTATTACCAGGGAAGGTTTTCCTTTTGTTTTACTTGCTATCCAGATGCTGCTCAGACTCTCGCTATCGCAAAGGATCAAAATCTGGATATTCCAACTCAAGACCGTCTGAAGGTAAAATCACCACATGGTGACTTATTTTGTTGTACAGAGTGGCCCCTTCTCTGTACCTATGGATCTTGGCCTCCCAAGACCTTTCGCTGAATGTGTAAAAATTTAATAAGAAAGGTTCTTGGGAGTTCACAGACCAGGGACAGAGTGAAAATTCTCTGTTCTGTCCATTACAGAGTTCCAGGCTCTGAATCTTTCTTTGGGATGTAGCACTTCTGATCTTTAGTTCTTCCAGTTGCATTTTCTTTGTGTGCGCGCCTGTGTGTGTGGGATGTTGTATATTCATAGGTATTTGAGGAAACTGCTTTTATTAGATTTTAACAGGCTTCTTGGAATTAAGTTCATGTTAGGTCATTTCTTAAAGCTTCCCCAAACCTGGGAAAACCTTATGAGCATCTTGGTATATGGTGAGGATTTCACATGTTTTCTGAATTGTGCCTAATTTCGTAGTAGGTTAAAGGGTTGATATTAATATCCTGTTTTTAATAGTAGATTTTGGTCTTTTGTGCAGATATTTTTTCCCCCAGGTTTGAGATTCTCCTAGCTCTGCTCACAGTGGGTTGAGATGTTGCCTTTATTTGATGACTGGTGAACGGGAGTTCTCTTTTCTTGTGTGTGTAACCCATTGTGTTGCACACTAACTGGTGAGCCAGAATGGAACTGCTACATCCCCTGGTCTCAGTCATTTCTACTGCATTGAGAGATGCCTTTCCCTTCTTTTCAGCAAGGTGAAGAGGAAAGTTCCAGTTCCAGGAAAAGTACTGAAGAAGGCAATACTCCCACACTGCCTACCTCACAGTACAAATGCACAAATTCTAGAGAAGGTACGTTTTGGATAAAGGCTATGTAGACTTTTCTTTTTTATTGATGATTTCTAGGAATGACATCTATCCAAATTAAGCACTAGTTATAATTAATACTGTTATATAGAGAAACAAGAAATAATAATGATGCTTTCTCTTCTATGTGAAGTAGGAGGAGCATATGTTATACTTATTTCTCATTCTTTTTAAAAAATTCTTGTCACTATTGTGAAGTCTGAAGAAGATGGTAGTGTTCTTTTAGCAACCCATGATTACTGGGGTGGAACAAGATCTTTTCTTTGGCAGAGATGGGGAACATATGGCCCTGCGGGCTGTACATGGCCTGCAAAATCAATACCAGTTAACATCACACCCCTCACCAAAGAGAAGCAGTTCCAGCCATTACATTAGGAGTGAGTTAATTAAATGTTTGACCAAATAAAGCAGGCTAATTTTTAAGTTGATAATTTTATATGGCCCACAAATGATATTATAAATATCCAAATGGCCTTGGCAGAAAATGGTTCCCCATCCCTGCTTTAGCTAGTAAGCTAATACAAGATGGCTACACATTTTTCATTTTGCCACCTGGTAACTTAGCTGCCTTGGTCTTTTAAATCTTGGCATCCCTGTACATGGTTGGTTAGAATTTTTATTTTGATTTGTTTGCTTGATGCAAATTTTCATAGATTTTTTTAAGTTTGCAAAAATGATAAAAGATACTTAGTATCTCAGAGCCAAGAATGAGACAGAGGAAGCCTAAGTAGTTCCTTTGCCTTTGGGTGGTAGTTATCAGATCTTTGCCGACCATACTTGATATGGTATGGTTAAGTGAGTTAATTGATACTTTGGAAGTTTCCCAAGTCCTACTTTCTAAAATATATCCTAAATTTTTTTCTGCAAAATTGTATAAAATAAAAAATATCTTAAAGGTATTTTTTGGCATGATGATTTCTAGTCTGGGTTCACATTTGAAGCAGTGGCTGTTGAAATTGTTTTAAATGAAACCAGTTTTTCTGCCTAATTACCTTGGAGCTTATGCCAATCTTATGGCATTAATGTATAATTTTGTTTCTTTAAATTCACATTTTTGCTTATTTTCTACTTAGAAGGCTGTTTAAAACAAGAACAGCTAATTCTGGAGACTATATGTAGTTTATGATGTAAATTTTGAGAATAAATAGCTTAGTATTTTTAGGAAGATGTATATGTAGAGAGGACACAATTTTTATATGTGTAAAGAATGGCCTATTTTCATTCCCTGCATGAGAAGTTATAGAGCTTGACTAGGTGAAGATAACTTTAATATTCATCTTAGGAGTTTGGTTTCTGATAACTTCAGCAAGGAGTAAGTAAAAAGACAGTTGAAGTTTCTCTGATCACAGATACACCTTTTAACAGACAGGATCAACACAATTTGTAAGTAGGTAGGATGAACTTTTGTTCTAGCAAGGATCCATTATTGCAGAAAAAATTTTAACTATATGTATGTACCTCAGCACATTTAACTAACCCGTGGTTGCCATTGGTATGTTTAGTGCATTGGGAGGAAGTAGAGGAGGGGAAGAAAGTAGGAAAAAAGTAAAGCACAACCAAAAAAGATTGCGTGATGAGAAAAAAAGAAAGGAATTTCATGTGGTAGCAATGAACATAGGTTAGTAACTGCCTTGAATGTCATTTACATGTAGGACACAGGATCTTTCATTTGAACTATGTGGGGCCTTAATGTGTTTTCGATTTGCAGTAGTTTTAGATTTTTAGACATCTTAACTCTGAAAGAGCCCATTGATCCAGAAGGAATGAATATATATATTTAAACAACCTAGAGTTTAGTGGTTATTACCTGTCAAACATATGAATTATTGAGAAATGTCCCAAAATGTGTGGTACCAGTGAGGCTGCCTTGACAACCTTGTATTTGCCTGTGTTACGTTCTGTACCATCTCCTATCTCAAGGGTTTGGCCACTATGCCATCACCATTTGCAGCCCAGTGGATCAAGTCATTATCAGATAGAATGTACTAGAGCAAGATATTCTTACATTTCTTGCGGTGGTAGGAATGTTTAAAATACCAGTAAATACCACTGTTCGGATACTTTCAGAGTTTAGATTTCTTGATAAATGATTATTTACTTCTAGTGTCATTACTTGCTTATAAAGCCTACACAGGAGAATAGATATGGGCTCTGCAACTGTGTCAGGTGTTTGGTTTCTGATTCTTCCTTAGTGGGAGTAGGAATTACTTTTTACTTATTTTATAAAGAGATTATAAGTATTATAAAGAGTTTTGATTCTTAAGGGCTGTATACAGAGTTATCATGCTTTTCATTTGACTTCTGTAGATGAAGACTTGATAGAAAATTTAACCCAAGATGAGACATCTAGGCTGGACCTCGGTCTTGAGGAGTGGGATGTGGCCGGCCTGCCTTGGTGGTTTTTAGGAAATTTGAGAAACAATTACACACCTAGAAGTAATGGCTCAACTGATTTACAGACAAATCGGGTAAATTTCAGGTTTGAAGAGGAAATTCTTTTTCTCCTTTGAAAAGAGTGACATTCTTGGTTACACTAGACCACACATTACATTCTCCAAGAATTCTCATATAGTGCTGTGACTTAAGTGCCATCTGAATGCAGACAGTACCCAAATCTATCTTCAGCCTTGACCTTTCCCCTAAAAGCCTTCCCAACCCTCTACTTAGATTATCTGACATTTAACATGTTCAAACAGAACTTTTATTTTATTTATTTTTTACCAGATACTCCTATGCAGTCTGTCCTTTTTTATAAGTCTACTTTCTGCCCAGTTATTCCAGCTGAATATTAAGGGATATGATTTCTTTCTCTGTCATATGCCACATTCAGGTTATCCAAAACATTCAAAATCTAACCAACCAGTTTTTATTACTTCCACTGTTGTAACCCTAATTTAAGCCATTATCATTCTGCTCCTTTATCTTATTTTATGTTTTTTCATTGCAATTCTCACTTTGTAAAATGATTATTTTACTGTGTTTATGTATGCATTGATTGTTATCCCCACTGAAGTGTAAGTCCAGGGCTTTTATTAACCACTCTGTTATATTGCCTAATACAAAGCAGTATCTGAGACATAATAGTTGTTCAATGAGTATTTCTTCAGTAAATGAATGGACATATAATGGCAAAATAATAAGTTGTCTCTTATGACTGTTGTAGAAAAGGATGTCATAAATGTCCATAGTTGAATGCAGAAAGTTGTATTTAAAGTTGTTTAAGAAATCAGAAAGCAGAGAGAAGGTTTGAGTTATCGTCAGTAGTTCTCATATTTCTTCAATAAACATTGACCATTAGAGGAGGAATATCTCACAATTAATAGAATGTTTTCTAGGTTCTCAGAGTGTCACTTGTGGAAAGGAATGTAGAGAATGGATTCTGTTTACTTGAGGAACTATGAGTCTTTAGCTTTTAAGGTCTTCAGTGCTGCTTCTCAGGTATTATACTTGATTTACTACCAAAATACACAATTCTGACAGTCCCCAGCTTTAATAAACACCCTCAAAACAAAAAAATAAAATTTATTACCAGGCACCTATACATCTATTAGCTTTTATATAATAAGTACCAAGTAAGTATTTGTTGAATGAATAGATGTTTATTGGAGACAGGCTAGGTGTTTGGAGATACTTGAGGACATTGAGTTTTGGGTTCATTTATGTTGGTTCAACATCTCTGATAAGCCTCTGACTACAAAAACTCATGTTTGTTTTCTCTGTTAGGATATAGGTACTGCCATTGTTTCAGATACGACAGATGACGTGTGGTTTTTGAATGAGTCAGTATCAGAGCAGTTTGGTGTTGGAATTAAAGTTGAAGCTGCTGATACTGAACAGACAAGTGAAGAAGTAGGGAAAGTGAGAGACAAAATGGTATGTTGTGGAACTATTTCACATTGGTTGTATCTATGTGTGTGTAGTATAACCTGTTCAGGTCTGGTGACATGACCTACGCTGCACTGCTTTGTACAGCAAATGACTCTCCTACCTTTCCTTCTTAATCTTTTTCTGTATCTAATTTTAAGATTCACACTAAGTTAACCAGGCTGCCTTAAAAATAGGCTAGGACTCCATGAGTAAAGCTCCTTCTTTGTTAGAAGCAATAATCTACCCTTTTTCTACTTACCTAATTTCTCATTGTAGAGGATTTTTTTCTTCTGGAGACCTTGCGTTGCTAAATAGGCAAAGTTCTAAATGGCCACAGCAGCCTGTAGAGGGGGAAATCCTTATTTTTTGAACATCTCAATAGTTTTCATAACAATTTTATACTCAAATGGAAATGGAGGAGGTTTTCCTACATACTATAGATTTTAAATTAGGGAGAAAAGAGGGAGTTAGAATTCTGAGTACATATGATGTGAATACACCAAGATGAGTCATACAAGCATGTGTTCAAGTCTCAAAATAAATAGGCAGCAGATCCCAGTGCCTGACATGGTCAAGAATCTCAGTAAATATTCACTAAATAAATATAGCAAAAAACCAGACCTAAATTTGTCCATTCTTGTAATTTAAGGGATTTTCATAGTAATTTGGGTTTTTGAAGGTGATATCCTATATGTTTGTGGTAGGCAGATAGATGCTTGGGCTCTCTTAGACTAGTTATGTGGGTATTATTAGAAGGGAAAGCATGCCCTTGCTGGTTTGGCTGAGCAGTTAGAGCATCGGCCTGCAGACCAAAGAGTCTCGGGTTTGATTCCCAGTCAAGGGCACGTGCCTCGATTGCAGGTTCACTCCCTGGTCCTGGTTGGGGTCATGTGGGAGGCAACAAGTTGATATGTTTCTCTCAGTCTCTTTCTCCTTCCTTCCCTCCCACTCTATGAAAAATCAATGGGAAAATATCCTCAGGTGAGGATAAAATAAATAACCAAATAGAAGGGAATGCAAGTGGCTAGAATGAAGACAAAGGTGACATTTGGAAACTTCTAGAGAGAGATGGGACTTAAAATACTTAAACTTTTGTGAGAAAATTGCTGTACAGAGGGTCATAATTGTTTTATAATTGGTTTTGTTCTGTTTACTGTGTCAAAATTTAGGGTTTTAATTTTTAGAATTTTAATTTATAAATTTTAAAATTTAGAAGACACTTCCCACATTTCTTTTTGTTTCCTGGTCTGTGGTCATATTGTACTATATAGGACAGCCAGAATATTACATAACTAGTTGTACTTTTGAATATAAAGAACATTTTAAAATACTTTGTTTTCATTTTTCACATCTAAGTTCTTATTTTATATAGTGCTTTACAGTGCCCACCTAGATTTCCAAGATAATTTTTCACATTTAATTATTTGTAGCTTTTCTGCCCTAATACGGTTTTTTTGTTTGTTTGTTTAAGTCATAAATTTAGGCACCCCCCTCCCTTCTGAATGCAGAAGATATTTGGTAACCCTCTGGGTGCTAGGTGTGCACAGTCATTTTTGATCTCATGTTTAAACTATCTCCTTTTGAAGTGGTAATGATGGAGGCAGAATGTAGACTTTAAATGGAAGCTCTTCCATCATTTCTGCGCTCAGGTAATAACCTCATGTGAAATAGGTAAACCTTACTAATGAGATGTCTTTGCCGTCACAGGTGATTGAAGTGGGAAAAAATGATGACCTTGAGGACTCGAGGTCCATATGTGATGATACTGATGTAGAGGTTGCCTCTGAGGTACGACTCTAGTAAAAGAGCTGTTTGCACCACTCATGTCTTCAGATGGTAACGTTCCAGCAGTTCAATGTGGGGAATGCCATTGCCCCATTTTATCTACCTTTCCTGAGTGTTAGGAGATGTTGGTTTCTTTACATTTTGTTAGAAGCTTTTATTGGAATTTAGAAAAAGAAGATGAGTTGATCTACTCTCCCCACCCTGAAAAGGGATGGCCTAAATGCCTCTGTGCCTTTCACCTGCTTTAAAAACTATCTTGACACGATCCATTGGGTAGTTATCTCGAATAGGCCTGCACTGCTTCTCCCACTAACGCTTCTCCTCTCTGTGATGCCAAAGATAGACTTAGAAGCTATCTAACTTTCTTTGTCAGGAATAAACATTATATTTTCAGCCCTGGCCTGTTTGGCTCAGCATTTAGAGCGTCGGCCTGCGGTCTAGAGAGACCCGGGTTCGGTTCCCGCCAAGGGCACATACCTCGGTTGCAGTTTGTCCCTGGCCCTGGTTGGTCGTGCGGGTGGCAGCCACTCGATGTGTCCGTTTCACATCGATGTTTCTCTCTCTCTCTCTCATCCTCTCTCTCCCTCCCACTCTATCTGTACAAAAAATGGAAAAATGTCCTCGCGTGAGGATAAAAAAAAAAATTATATTTTCAGTGCTTTCTTAAAAAGAAATGGGAAATGGCTTAATTTTTATACAGATTTATATTATTGGAGGGCTAACAAATGAAGATTTAGTATTAAGGTTTTAGTAATAGGTATGAGTTTGTCACCAATTGACAACTAAGGTTTAGACTCAAATGTGTTTCTTGCTTTTCTGTTTTTATGCTAGTTCCCCATTTTCCTTTCAGCATTCCCCTCTGCTAACTCATTGGAAAAAAAGGGGTGCTGAGGGAAGGATAGGGAGGTTGATTTTACTTTTTGCTGCTTGGGAATAGAAAAATTTTAGGTTGTCTCTGGTGTTGATTCCTCTCCCACTTCTACCCCACCACTGTTGACCATTATGGTAATTCATTGTCTGTGTATTGCTAAGTAATAAAGTAGAATATATTGGTCCATTAAGTGGTCTTGACCATAATAAAAATAGAGTTAAGTGTTTCCATCTTCATTAGACTTCTGTGGCTACTTGGACCCAGAAAACCCCTTAAGCAAATAGACTGTATTTTATCAAATCAAAGATGCCATTGACTTTAACAAGCCCTATTATTTTATGTACTACTAGAAAACAAAAGTTGATGCCAATTAGACCATGACATACCATCAGTTATGAATTTCAAATTTTTATTAAGTTTCTTTGTGTATTTGTGTAATATTCATTCGAGGTCTGAGGATCTTCAGCTGGCACAAGAATGTTTTGAGGCTCTCTGGAGAACACCCCAATTTACCAAATGGTTGTGTCCCTGCCTCTTGGTCTGGGGCCTGGGGTGGGGAACGTCAGGCCCACCGGCCATCTAAGGCCCAGGAAATCAATATAGCAGACTAATTTTTAAGTTGATGAATTGTATGGTTAGCGAATGATGTTATAAATATCTAAATGGCCCTTGGCAGAAAAAAGGTTCCCCACCCCTGGTCTAAGGCAATTGAGTTATGATTTCAAAACTTCAAGTGCTTGATGTTCATTCTGAAAGCAATCAGGTTGGCCTGGGTAAAACCATTGATCCTGTGAAAGCCAGGCAATTATGCACATTGAATACTCTTTACTTATTCCAGGTAGCTACCTTTGAATTAAGGTATGTAAAATTTATTGAGCTCTAGTATTTTCTAATTTTAATATGGAGAAGTAGGAAAAAACTTACTTGGCAGATTAACCAAAGAATTTATAGGCATATATGCATAACCTATGGACACAGACAATAGGGCAGTGAAGGCCTGGTGGAGGGAGTCAATGGGGGGAAAAGGTGGGGACATCTGTAATACTTTCCACAGTAAAGGTGAATTTAAAAAAATTAAACTCTTGTAAAAGAAGATAATATAAAGCTCAATGAGAATTTGGAAAAAGGAAAAAATATTGACATTCAAGGATAAGAACACTTCATTTTTCAGAGGGTGTGACTGAGGCGTACAGTTAGCTACCGTGATCCTGAGAGCAGTGAGAAAGCAGGAGTACATTTAGTAGTTTTTTAAAATCTCACAATTACAGCTTTTTTTGGCCAGATTTTATAACATTTCTTAAATAGTAGAAAAGAATTATAGAGTAGTGTCTCTTCTTCATTCTTTAGATAAGATGAGTTCTTTAGATAACTCTTAACATAAGAGTTCGTTGTCAAAAGAGAAATGACCTAAAAGGAAGGCGGGGGGGCGGGGGGGGGGGTGGCGGGAAGCAAACAATGTAAATTCCACTCAGACTAGAAAGCCAAAATAAGACTTTGCTGTATCAAATTTGGCTTGAATTGGTGGTAGTTGTGTCACTATCAAAGTGGCTAGACTGGTCTCTCACTAGCTTAGTTAGGTGATGAGAATTTGGCCTACTTTTCCTTTTCCCCATCATCATCTTCCCCAGAGTATTAACTGGCTTCACTTTACCTTTGTAGGATGAGTGGCAGTGTACTGAGTGCAAGAAATATAACTCTCCAAGCAAGAGATACTGTTTTCGGTGCTGGGCCTTGAGGAAGGATTGGTATTCAGATTGTTCTAAGTTAACTCATTCTCTCTCCACATCTGATATTACTGCCATACCTGAAGAGAAGGAAAATGAAGGAATTGATATCCCTGATTGCCGAAGAACCATATCAGCTCCAGTTGTTATACCTAAAGATGTATATAGAAAAGAAGAACATCCCAAACTCTTTGATCCTTGCAGCTCGGTGGAATTCTTGGATTTGGCTCACAGTTCTGAAAGCCAGGAGACCATATCAAGCATGGGAGAACAATCAGCTAACCTTTTTGAACAGACAACAGTTACAGGAAACGTAGAGGATTGCCGGAATCTTTTGAAGCCATGTAGTCTATGTGAGAAAAGACCACGAGATGGGAACATTATTCATGGAAGGACGAGCCATCTTGTCACTTGTTTTCACTGTGCCAGAAGATTAAAGCGGACTGGGGCTTCATGCCCTATTTGCAAGAAAGAAATTCAGTTGGTTATTAGGGTTTTTATAGCATAGCTGAATCAATGAACTACAGAAATATTACCAGGCAAGGTCTTCAAAACATCAGTATTGAGCACCATCTTCACTCAGTTTGACTCATTTTTTTTTTTTTTTTATTGATATAAACATTGTGTTTCAGGACATTTTTGCTTCTAAATATATGGAAATTGAGAATGAGTTCTTTAGAACTAGATCATTAATTTGGGGACTCAGCATGAAAAGACATGTTAATCACTTCCTTCTCCCTTCAAGATGAGGATCTGCTGCCTGGCTGGTGTAGCTTGGTTGGAGGGGCATCCTATGCATGTCCTATGGTCATGGGTTTGATTCCAGGTCAGGGCACATACCCAGGTTTTGGGTTCAATCCCTGGTTGGCGCACATACAAAAGGAAACTAATCCTTATTTCTTTCTCACATTGATGTTTCTCTCCCTCTCTCCCTTTTCTCCTCTCTCCCTTTTCTCCTCTCTCTGTAACCAATCAAAAAAAATTCTTGTATGAGGATTAGAAAAAAAAAAAAAAGGTGCCCTGGCCGGTTTTGCTCAGCAATTAGAGTGCCGGCCCACAGACCGAATGGTCATAGGTTTGATTCCCAGCCAAGGGCACATACCTGGGTTTCAGGTTTGATCCTGGCCCTAGTTGGGATCATGCAGGAGGCAACCAGTTGACATTGCTTACATCAATGTCTCTCCCTCCCTCTCTTCCTCCCTCTTTTTCACTCTATCTAAAAAAATCAATGGAAAAATATCCTCTAGTGAGGATTAATCCAAGTGGGGGGAAAAAGAGGATTTGGGAGGGTGCTGCTACCAGTACAAACAAAAGTATGTTCATTCATTCATTCACTTATTAAATTACTTGAAGATTAACATTTTTTAAGTTACTTTTATGTTCTACACTTATTTTCTGTTAGGGAGTGTTTATTTTTAATTCAGTTACAGTTGGCATTCAGTATTAGCTTTAATTGTACAGCATAGGGGTTAGATATGTAATTTGCAAAGTGATCCCCCATAAATTGCCCATAAATCTAGTACCCACCTGACACCATGCTTACTTATTACAAATATTATTAACTATATTCCTCTTGTACTTTACATCCTGTTAGGGAATGTTCTTAGGCATCTAAACCCTGGTGGCTATTAGAAAAATATTAAAGTTAACAGTGAAAAAACATTTTTTGTATAGTGCTGTAGATCACTTTATGTTGGCAATTAGGTTGCATGGCCAAAAGGAAAGTCTTTTTTTTTTTTTTTTTTTTTTTTTTATCCTCACCCGAGGGCATTTTTCCATTTTTTGTACAGATAGAGTGGGAGGGAGAGAGAGAGAGAAACATCGACGTGAAAGGGACACATCGAGTGGCTGCCACCCGCACGACCAACCAGGGCCGGGGACAAACTGCAACCGAAGTACGTGCCCTTAGCGGGAACCGAACCCGGGTCTCTCCAGACCGCAGGCCGACGCTCTAACCGCTGAACCAAACCGGCCAGGGCAAAAGGAAAGTCTTAAACAGAGTTCTCCCATGTGTGCCTAGAATAATGCTGTGAAATATTTTTTACTAACAGACCCTGTGAGAATTTTGAGAGTATATATATAATCTTTTGCACAGTTTAAAATTTAAGGCATAATTAACACACAGTAGTATTCTCTTCTGTAGACATCTGAGTACCCAAAACAAGCTCGAGAACATTTCTGTCACCTCAGAATATTCCCCTGTGCCCCTTTCCAGGCAGGCCCTCTGCCGTTTCCTGGCTCTCACCCCAGATTAGTTTTTCTTTTTGCACATAATTGGCCATCTAAATTTTAAGAATAAATGTAAGTACTTACAGAGGCTATACTATCCAGTATATTGCATGTATATGTGCATTAAAGATATTTTTATCAAAGCCTTCAAGCTACAGATATAGCTGATTAAATTTGTAGAAAATGTTCTGTCATGTAAATGGGAAAACCTGCTCTCATAAAGTTAATCGGCCAAATCAGACTTAACTTTCAGTAAAAAATGTTTGACTTTAATTCAAATTAATGTATTAACATACACTTTTGGCACAACCTTCTCAATTACAACCTATCTATCTTAGGATAGATAAGGCCAGGATTTTTAGACCCAAACAGCTCTTTTTGCTTTACTCTGTCTTCTTGTTTTTTAAGAGTTCTCTGAGGGTCTTTTTGTTTGTTTTTTGCCTTTTGTTGGTGAGCTGTTTTGTTTTTTGCATTGTGAGGCAATGCTTCATAGTAGGATTTTAGATGGTGAGAGGCAGTCTTTTGAAAATAGGGAGTATGGCACTTGTGAAAAGGGAAGTAATTAGAAGTGTTAGATCTGAACAATCTATCTGAGCACACAAATCTTTGGACAATACACATGGTAATTAAAGATCTTTAAATCGATTTTCTTATAGATATCCCTGTCCGCTTTTCCCATGGAAAATATCTTGGTTTATGCGCAGGTGTATCAGTATGTCACTTTGAAGACCAAGGCCCTAGAATTTCAAATCCCTGGGCCAGGGATTTCTATTTGAACAGGTGTTCCTGGAAAGCTGATGCACGTGGGCCACAGACTATACTTTTGGAAGTCTTGCCCTTAAAGGAAGGGGTTTTCCAGGTATAGGAAGTAAAACGAGATTCCTTTATTTAGCATCATAATTTCTAGAGGATAAGTTTTGTTAAAGTTAGAGAATTTTATTTTATTTTTTTATGTATTATTTTTTTTATCCTCACCCAAGGAGATTTTTGCATTTATCCTGAGATAGAGCAGGAGGGAGAGAGGGAGAAGAGAGAGAGAGAGAGAGAGAGAAACATAGATGTGAGAGAGACACATCCAGTGGCTGCCACCCACATGACCCCAACCGGGTCCAGGGACAAACTGCAACTAAGGTACGTGCCCTTAGCAGGAACCGAACCCAGGCCTCTCTGGTCCACAGGCTGACGGTCTGACCGCTGAGCCAAACCAACCAGGGCAAAGTTACAGCATTTTAAAACTAGAGTGCACTCATGTACTCAACCCCTTTTATTTTGCACATGAGGCTGTAGGTCAAAGGACTGCTGAAAGTCACAGAGCTAGTACTAGAATACAAATCTAAACTATAGTTTAAATCTTACTTGCTTTCTCATTAAGTATGTTTTTTTAAATTGATTTCTTAGGAAGGGAGAGAGAGAAATGTCGATCGGCTGCCTTCTGCACGCCACCTACTGGGGATCAAGCACACAACCCGGGCATATGCCCTGACCAGGAATCGAACTGGGACCTCTCAGTCTATGGGATGACACTCAATCCACTGAGACACACCAGCCAGGCACTTCTCATTATTTATTAAATGGTGGTGCTTTGTTGAACTTAGATCAGCCAATAACTGTAATATACTGGAGAAGATAACTCGGCAGCCACAGTTGGACTTTAGAGAAACAGTGGCTTTTAACACTTTTCCCAAAAGGGAGAAGGCCCAGTAAATGTCAGGTTTTCTTCTATAATCAGATAAATATCCCTCCCATTGGGAGGACAAGTAAAGGTGGCAGAGGGACCTGGAGCATTTTCTCCAGTGTTGCTCCTCCTTGGTGAATGTTGCTCAGAAGTCTGCCTCTAGGCATTAGGCAGAAGGGTTTCCCCCTAATAAGTATAACTGGTCCTTTGAGTTTAATACTTTGTTAGGCCTATGGGAAATGTTTAAAACTTCAGAAAGTGAAATTACTTTCTTCCCTGTTTTTCCTCCACCACTCCTCTTCATATTAGTTTGACAGCTCTCAATTTTATTTTTCCAATCAATTGTTTTTGCAGTGATAAGATGCAGAGTTAGGGATCTGCGCCAGTGTCCTGTGATTTCCCTTATATAAAGGTGCAGTTTTTTAAAAATTTTTTTTAAATGTTAAGATTTTATTTGTGTTTGTAGATAATTGATGCTGATTTTGGTACATTTCTTGCACAGAATCCTCTCATTCTACTCAGTTTTCCTCCTTTTCCCCTTTGTTCACCTGTGTTTTTCACAGTTCCTGTTAGTACTAAGTACTGTGATTAGAAGGTCCGTGAACTGTGCATTTGAGCTGAAAATGTAATAACCTATACTTACGCTTACTGTGCCTCTACGGAGCCTTTTGAATGACTGAAATGTTACGGAGAAGTGTATCTGCAGGAAGAGTAGTATTTCTTGATACCTTATCTAAAGTCCAAGTTGCTGCTTCTGCATATGTTTTTTTTCCTTCATCCAGGATCCGTACTCGGTGTCTTCTGGGAGTATCGCACAGGAGGTGGAATTCCTTATTTTTTGAGGGCAGGATGGGTCAGGGATCCGTAAAAGAGCCTAATAGTGCTATCAGAGCAGATCTTTATGTGCAGAAGCTTTGAACTATCGTGATCTGCTTTATTCGGTTTTGTTCTTTTTTCATTGGCACTGCGGTACAGGTACATTTTACTCACGACCACTAGAGCAAAGCCTGTGCATGTGAAGTCTTCATTGTTGACTACTACAAGGTACGTTCTCCACTTCCAAACACTACCGTTTTTTTTTGTTTCCTAGTGTTATTTTAATCGAGTGTTCAGAGCAGGTGAATAGGGTGTGACATCCCAAGTGCTATAGTTACAGATGGGAAAAGAAGTAATTTGTCCAAAAATGTAGATAGTAATTGGTGAAACGAAGATTTAACCGCCAGATTACCAATCTCCAAATCCTTGACACTTAAAAACTGTTAAATTATAAAATATTTCAAACATACAGAAAGGAACCTATTATACATGTATACATATATACTCATACCTCTCAATTTTAACAAATCTAAACATTTTGACATGTTTGCTACATAACACTTTTTAAGAACTAAAATATCATAGAGACAGTTGAAGCTCCTACACAAGCCTTTTTGCTCCATTCTCCTCCCTCCCTCCCCAAGTGAACTCTTCCTGGAGCTGGTGCTTAGCATTCTCATGAAGTTCTGATACTTTCACTGCCCACGTATCCATAGGGGTATCTTGAGCCTCATTCGAAGCAACCATACCAGGTTCTCTTCACTACTCAGATGGAAGCCAAACTTCAGGAACTTGAACCCTGGTCCACATCTTCGAATTGAAAAGGGCTCTTCAAGACTCTTGAAACAACTTCCAGATGGAGATATATGTAGGATGAGGTCCTAAAAGGGGCTCTGTCCTGGAGCTGGCACCCTGCGCCGTGGCATGTGGAAGCGCTCTGGTTCCCCAGCATGGAAGCTGTCTAATAAAGGGCCTGCTTATCTTTTAGTTAGTTGTACTTAGGGTAACCATACACTCGGGTTTGCTTGCTGGAAACAGTGCCCGCTTTACCCCTTTATTTCAGCATCCAACCTGGTTTGTCTTCGTCTCTCCTCTTTCATTCTCAGATCTTTTCATTGGAATGTTAAATTATATGGTCTCCATGGTAGGCCATGCTTGAGTTGAAATCGTGATTGAGAGGAAAGGGTCTATTAAAGTAGATGTCAGTGGGGTTTACTAATTTCTAAATTATCATGTCA